TATCAACCATAAGAAGTGATGCACTGAATAACTTTTTCAGTCAATCCCCAAGAAGGCTGAATTTTTCACCTAAATGTTGCTTACAAGCTGTCGGTATTCTCATTTCCAGTATTTCATAATTGCAAAGCCCTACACGGTTGGAGGTTCTTCTAAGTGAAACAACTCATTTCAATGGAGGAGTTTGACTTCACACTCTTGAGGAGTGGTGCTAACTGCTAGTGCTAGTGTTGGTCACCTCAGAGGGATGTACCTAACAGCAGGTGTGACATGGCCAGGCTTTCTTTGCATTCACTGGCTTGACAAAACCTGAAACACTAATCAGAGATAATGGCACAATGATGATTATCAACGTTTTTGGTAGCCAGATTTTTCTTTCTGAGACTCTTTGTACCCCATCCTTTGGCTCTCACTCATATAAAATGGCCGGATGGTGGGCCGCCTACTTCAGGGGTTTGACTCATATTGATCGGAGGCCACTGCATCAAATTGAAATCATATTATGGCAGGCCTTGTGATGACAGCAAATAGGATGTCATTCAAAGAATCGATATAATATCGTATTGTGACGGACCTGTGATTGAAACCTGCAGTCAGAAGCACTGCTCCAGAGGAATGCAGGTAGAATATTGTCAGTGGTCTAAGGGAATATATGTATTTTTTCCACTCAGTGCACTCTCAGTACAGCTGTTTTTTCAGACTTGATAGCCACACATTAGAGCTGGTGAATGTTAAACATGATGCTCAAGATGTGTGTCAGTGGGAAAGTGACTTTCCTTTTTGTTTTTGTCCAAGTCAGAGTCATCTTACTGGTTGTCTTTTCTTTTTCTTTGTTATCAACAGACTAAGCTATTTTCACATCTGTGTTCTATTAGCTGCAGTGCCAGCAGCGTAAAACCGACAGAACCAACAGAAAATCAGGACTTAGCCTTTAAAAATATATTTGATATTTTATGTATTTTCTGCATCACCAACTCCAACCTGTACATTCCCACAGCAACGCAATGCACACTGTTCATGCTACTGGAACTGCATGTTCAGCGACAATACAAACGTGAGACAGATATAACATATCCCCTCAGCTAAAAATCTGTATCGCTCACAGAGAATAAGAAAAGAATAGAAAGAATAGAAAAATACATTATTTATCCCAGGCCTGGGGAATTATTGTGATACAGCAACAAAAAAGAAAAAACACCAATCACAACAGAAAAGGGCTAAAGTTAAATACTATTTAAGAAATGAAAAATAAAGTGAAATAAAAAGAAAAGAAAAGAAAGAAAATAACTGTGCAAAATGTGCAAATTGAAAAAAACTGTGCAAAAGACAGAGGATAAGGAGAAGAGCTGGTGAAAGGGCAGCCGCTTGTGACATAGAAACCTTTGGCTCAAGGCCCCATGCGTTGCTAACGCATTAATCTCACTCCGTAGTGAACACCGTGGGTTGGCTGTGGTGTTTCACTGTTGTGTGGTGACCATAAGCACACAACTCTGGTCACAGTCAGCTACACTATATTGCCAAAAGTATTCACTCACTCATCCAAATTATGGGAATCAGGTTTTCCAATCACTTCCATGGCCACAGGTGTATCAAATCAAGCACCAAGGCATGCAGACAGTTTTTTACAAACATTTGTGAAAGAATGGGTCGCTCTCAGGAGTTCAGTGAATTCCAGCGTGGTACTGTGATAGGATGCCACCTGTGCAACAAGTCCAGTCATGAAATTTCCTCACTACTAAATATTCCACAGTCAACTGTCATTATGGTGTGGGGCTGTTTTTCAGGAGCTGGGCTTGGCCCCTTAGCTCCAGTGAAAGGAACTCTGAATGCTTCAGCACGCCAAGAGATTTGGACAATTCCATGCTCCCAACTTTGTGGGAACAGTTTGGAGATGGCCCCTTCCTCTTACAACATGACTGTGCACCAGTGCACAAAGCAAGGTCCATAAAGACATGGATGACAGAGTCTGGTGTGGATGAACTTGACTGGTCTGCACAGAGTCCTGACCTCAACCCGATAGAACACATTTGGGATGAATTAGACCAGAGACTGAGAGCCAGGCCTTCTGGTCCAACATCAGTGCGTGACCTCACAAATGTGCTTCTGGAAGAATGATCAAAAATCCCCATAAACACACTCCTAGACCTTGTGGACATCCTTCCCAGAAGAGTTGAAGCTGTTCTAGCTGTAAAGGGTGGACCAACGTCATATTTAACCCTATGGATTAAGAATGGGATGTCACTTAAGCTCATATGTGAGTCAAGGCAGGTGAGCGAATACTTTTGGCAATATAGTGTATGCACAGCTTAGGAAGTGCAAGTTGTGGTTGTGATTATGTTTCATTCTTGACATTGATGAACCACGTAGCAGTTCAGTCACAGTGATGGTAATTCATATTTCTTTCATAAATACCAGCAACAAGGTGTGTTGCGTGCTGTTTTTCCGATAACTAATGGAGGGTGAAGCGCTCATGCAACAGTTTACACAGTAGAGTCTGACCTTTCTGAAAAGATTGCATGTACAAAACGATGTAATTTGAGGATGTCACTACCTAGGCTGACAGTGGCAGGTCATGTACAACCACACAGAGTCAAATCTTTGGAAAGTTTTTTGACAGACACATGAATTTGTTTTGAATTTCCTAGACATTTTGCGTCGGCTCTGGTCCTGATATATCTCTGATTGTTGAGTTGATTCTCTGATAAGTAGCCTACTGAATAATCTCTCAAACCCTGAAGTCAACATATTAATAGATTTCAGCAGAGCTTGCCAATCATTCATAGACAAAGAGAAAGAGAACCCGAGCTCGTCCTCAGTGGTCCTAACTGGCCGCCCTCTGCCTCTGTTATTACTCTGATCTCAGACACATCGGGTGGAACGGGGCTCTTTTTTGCCCAACTTTTATTTCCTTCCCCGTCTTTCTCCACCCCAACCCCCACACCCCTCCAACCTACTCCAGCCCTTAAGACTTTCTAGTAGAGCAGAGGTGCCCTTTGCTGTGTGGATGGTTGAATGTAGGCAGGGGGTTTTAATGACAACCTGGTCCAAAAACAGACTCCTCACACATCCAGTCACTTTGTCTGTTTTGTGTGCCGGAGGTCTGAGGTGATACCCAATAAAATCCTTACATATCAGAGAAACCACACTTGACTTAAAGTTTCACTGAATGTAGTTTTAATCAAATAGTAATAATAATAATAACACTAACAAAAACAACAAAAAAACAGTAGGCGCATTATTTATTTTTCTATTCCTTGTCTTGTTCATTTTTATTTATTGTTTCAACAGTAACCGTTGGACTGAGGACTCTGCACACTCGTCCTGGTTGAACGTATAGTTTGAATAGTGAGCAGAAGGAGATCCCAGCATGTCTGGATAACCAGCGCTGTTGATGTCTACTGAAATATATCAGTTTCAGCACACTAGACACTGGCAGCATTCTAATGCTTCAGCAAACATGTGACACATTGCTGCCCATGCGTGAATTAAAGGTCACGACA